CTGCTCCACGACCTCCTCTCGCCGGAAGTGAATCAGTAGCAAGTTGTTGTTCCTCCGCGTCACGCAGCCATCGGCGGGCCCTCCTCCATAAATGTCCATTCTCAATCGTCGGGACCCGTCGAGCTCGTCAGAGTGCCGAACGTAGTCGTTGAGTCCCGTCGGAGTGCCGAACCAAGCCGGCTAGTCTCGGCGTATTTGCTCCCCGCTGCCACTTGATCTCTAAGCCCCGTTGCAGCGCCATTCCACTCGCGTTGCTGTCCCGAAGCCGTCGGGCACTCCCGTACGTCAGTTTCATTTTTCCCGTGTACTGAGGCTCGATTCTAGCCCTCCGAGCAACCGATCGCCATCCTCGTTGGTGTTCGGTAACGATGGCTATAAAACCCTTTCATTTTGAGTAATTTATGTGTTTTAAATTGATGTTAAAGGGCGGTAGATATGGTATGTATGACCTTGAACTTGGGTACATAAGATTTTATGTGTGATTATTGTATGTGTTGATATGTTTTGAAGAAAGAATCTAGGTCTGAGGTTAATTCGTATGATTTTGATGTGTTATCATGTTCTATGAATATGTAATAATTCAAGTGGAAATCGTAAGATGTCGTTTTTCTATCTTGTTTAAATAAGACGGAGTTGGACCTCGGACATTGTGTTTCGATATATTAATATTTAAGTCTTAAAGTAGTGATATCGAGGCTTGCTTAACATATAATTTTCATGATTTCGATGCCTTGTTGATGTACGAATGTTTCGAGTTGTTTAAAGCATGAAAACCAAATTTTCGAGCCTCAGTTGTGCTTAATTTTTTTAGACCAAGAAGCTATTTCTTGGACGTGTGTTCTTCATTAGTTTTGTAGTGCTTTGAGTTAGGTTTCATTAAATTTTAGAATTTTGTGATTCGGAGTTGAAATGAATTTTAGAAATGAATTTTATATGAATTTTCAAAGTTGGATGAGCATGCTGTTTTGATAAACTCGGGCAGAAAAGTTGATTTTAGTTCATGACTATTTTTATGATCTTAGGGTGTCTGAATGAAAATGTGTTCTTCATGACAAATGTACTATATGTTGTAAGCTGCTTGTGAGAGTTAAAATTTCTGAAAAAGAAGTTGATTTGAATTTTATATGACGTTTCTAAGCGGGATGTACACCCAGTTTTTATGAACTATGGCTGTGTTTAAGTGTTGAATGTGTGCTCTGTTTTGATGACCCGAAAGTATTCGTATGAAAACGTTCTCTTCATAACATTTGTATATTTACATGTGTAAATTTTGTAGGTTTTGAGTTTGTATAAATTGGAGTTGTGTAGCTTGAGTTGTTGCCATTTTACTAAGGTGTTGTATATTTGGAAAAATTGTTCGTTGTTTCTGTTGTACCTCAGTTTAAGCCATCAGAGACCGATTATTTAAAGTTGTTTTATTCTTATACAATATAGTATGTTCAGTTGCCTGTATCTGGGCTTTAGAATTTCGCAATTCCGAGCTATATCGAATAAGTTATGATTTTTACGAGAATATTGCGCGTCCAGTTTTTCATGCTACCCGGCAGCTTGTGTGAAATTAATGTGTGACCTGTTTGTCGTGTCTTATTGTGCTCGTATGAACTTATGCTCTTCATGAAAGTGATAGAGGCATGAGTTAGGGATATTTTCCAAGAGGTTTCAGCATGATATGATTTGTAGACTGAAAACTACTTGCATTTTAAATTCATCGCGCATGCTGAAAATTGGTGCAAGTTCATGTTTAGGTTTATAATTTGACTTATATTGTTTAAACGCATGTTTATGTGGCATAAATGAATCATGTCATGCTATGTGATGCTTATTTGATCCTCCAATGTCCTAAGTGTTAAAAGTTAAGCAAGCAAAGATATCCAACAACCGAAAAGACTTATACATAAAACGTTTTCAAAGCTTATATATATGTATAAACTTCGAGAATAAGATAAGCCTTGATAAGATTCTAAGATAAGGCCCAACGAATATAGGTGTTTGACGAACTGTGCCTCGACTGCCAGCTGCTTTTCTGGTTTTATTGCTTTACTCCGGATACCAGGTGGGTCTTATTTAACTTGTCTATGCCTTGAATGATAATGTTTTATTTATGTGGGTATGATCAATGTAAGCATGTGAGCAAGTAATCTTCGATGGGAGCTGTATCGGCCGTCGAATGGTTATCCCCGTAACTGTAAAGAAAAACCCATGGGGTTTACTCCTACTGTTGGCATCTATAGAAGCCCGAGGGGCATTCGGTGTAGAAGCCGGAGGGGCATTAGACGTATAAGCCTGAGGGGAATTCGATAAAAGCCTATGGGGCATTCGATAAGTCTACCAGCAGAAGTCTATTGATATAGGTGTGCACACGAGTCTTCATTGATGATATATGTGATGGAAAAATTGGGATAAAGGAATAATTCGTATTCATACTGTGACCATGCCATTTAATTTCTCGTATATTATTATTGTTCATGTGCATAGTAGTGAGCACAACAGTTCACCGTGCTCACTCTCACCTGCTCTTCATGGATGCAGGTTAAGCGGGTGTGGGATGACGAGGCAAAGACGAGTGGTGGTTGGTCGTTGACCTGACCTAATATATTAGCTTCCGCTTACATTTATGAACTTTGGATTATTGATGTTATTTATGAACACTGGTTTAATTTATGCATTGAAAACTGAGGATTTACGATTCATGAAATTTGGTATTTGTGATTTACGAACACTGGGATTTTGAAACCTTGGATTGGGAGATGTTCCCTTATGAATAATTTGGATGAACTTGAGATTTATGAAAACATTGAATTTATGATTTACGTTATTTATGTGATTTAGTTCGAGTAGCGCCACTGATTTATGAAAAAAATTTTGAAAAATTTAAGTTGACTTTTTTACTTTCGTCAAAATAAAAGTGGGGCGTTACAGCATCACTCTCGACTTGATACACGTAAGAAAGTATTTGCCGTCTTCTTCAGGATTGTTAGCTCGTGCCCTAGCGCCGCTAGGGCCTGGACGCGGGCAGAATTTATTTTTTTCTCATTTTTTTTCTCAGTTTTGCTCGGTTTTTCGTGCTCTGTAAATTAAAATTCGTCCCCAAACTTTTGGGAACACTCTCAACTCGTGTTTTTCTATTTCTCACGCTAGAACTTGGATTTGAATCTTGCTTTTCATCTCGTTTTCTTCTTTAATTTTCTGGATTAAGCTTGTTCATTTGGATTTGACTCTTGGTTCTTTATTAATGATAAGTTTTTCTTTTTTATTTCATCAATGAATATGACTGCTTCGGTTAATTCATTGATTATGTTGAATTCCATTTGAGTAGCTAATCCAATTCGCTAGGGATAGGGGATGATGTTTTGAATTCGTTTGTGATTATCGTGCTTGTCGAATCGTTCAACTTATGCAAGTTAATTTGAAACTAGGGTTCTTAATCTTCATGCTGGATGTTGATTATTATTTAAGAGTGATACTTCAGTTTAAGATTGGTTTATAATTGAATATGATTTATTTTCATTTGTTGTTTTCAATCCTAATAGAATAGTTAAACCACCTTCTAGTCCATTTTAGTCGACTCTTGAACCGAAAAGGGAGGAGTCGATTGATCTAGGCTCATATGAAATAAGCTTTTTCGTAACTGTATTGCCTATGTGTTAAATGACTAGTTAATTTGTTGTTCACGTTTATTATCCTCTTGTTATGAAAACTTACTGAGGATAAATCTCTGAACGAGTATGTTATTTGAATCTTTTAACTGAATGATCACTCGCTCGTTAATAGCATCGTGAACCAAAACGATTATCCCCGACTCCCTAATTTCTTTATACTGTTTATTGATTGCTTTTGCTTTGCGTTTCTGAACTTCTTAGTGGTTAGTTGAAATTCAAACCAATCTTGAATTAAAATGTTTAGGAACTTATTTCTTCTTTTTGTGCTTGAATACATGAGTAAAGTAATCCGACCAACCTTACTCGAGAGATCGACCCGGAGAACGAATCTTTTGATTCAGTACTCGATAAATAACATAATTTGCTACAACAAAGACTACCCTTTTCAAGCCCTATGTCCAAGAGTTGAAAGGATTCTAATTTTGAGACAAGATCCTCTTCCATTGACGAGCCTTGGAGGCACTAGCAAGCAAGAGAAAATCAAAGAACCTGGCACATGACAAGAAAAAGAAAACCTCTCAGGACAGGAAGGGACAAATACACCAGCAAACAAAACCCACCAAACAACAAAACCGTACAAGAGGGGAACATAAGGAGATTAAGCTAAAATCGTATAAACTCCTCCCAGGGAAGAGGGATTATACCTGCACGACAAGGAATCAAGCCTTCAAAGAGAGGATAAAGCTCCCGTAGGGAGAGAATTTTGCCTCGTCAGTTTCTCTCAAGAATTTCCTTCATTTTTGCAACTACGAAGCTTCGTTTTATTTTAAATAAATTAAAAAAAAAAAATTGGAACAAACTGAGAGTAGGAAAATCATAACAGAAACCATTAAGACAAGGCAAATAAATAAAATAAAAA